TGTTATTGATTTATACAAAAATATCAATATATATATACAATAAAAGTTACTCTACTCTAGCTTCCAACTATGGTAAGTACTTGTATGAACTATTAATTCAAAAAAGATCATTACGGGCAACTTTTACACAGCTGAGAGTTTCATGAAATTCATTATTGTTTTTGATCTTCTCATTACCATTGAATTTTTGTTGAAATTTTGATAAAATTGTAAAACTTTGTAAATAATTCAGCATTTAGTAAAATCCATGTATTTAGAGAGAAAGATTAAAGATACCCCTATAATTTGTATTGTTATACCATTTATTACTTTTCAAGAGTAGATAATAATAGCAATTGTCTTCAAATCAATAGTTTGGCTGCAACGCATTCTTTTTTGTTAATGCGCTAGTTTTTCAAAAAAAAAAAAATTGGATATCATATAAATTGTTCATTTGACAATGAATTTCTATCAGAAGTCTTTGAGATATTTCAGTGTGTCATCGAAGGCATTGGCAAAAAAGAAGAATGTCAGTGTAACTAAACCTAAATATTTGGGTCGTCCAAGTAATAATTTGACGCTGGGTGTTGTTGGTTTGGCAAACGTTGGTAAATCAACATTTTTCCAAGCTATGACAAAAACTAGTTTAGGTACAGCAGCCAATTATCCTTTTGCTACTATAGATCCTGTGGAATCATTAGTGGTTGTTGAAAGCCCAAAATTAAATCATTTGGGACATTTGTATGAATCACAGAAGAAGCTTCCTACAATTTTAAATATTCTTGATATTGCTGGGTTAACGAGAAACGCGGCAAGCGGTGAAGGGTTGGGTAATAAGTTCTTATCTGATATAAGACAAGTAGATGGAATATTTCAAGTGGTTCGTGGATTCAGAGACGATGATATCATTCATATCGAAGAAAATAAAGTTGATCCTATCCGTGATATGGATATTGTCACAGAAGAATTAATACTAAAAGATCTTGAATTTGTTGAGACGGGATTAGAAAAAGTCGGAAAGTTAATAAAGAGACCGCACATAGATAAGGCACAGGTCAAACTCGAGATAGACACTTTGAACAAGATTCAAGATTTATTGTACGAGAGTCGTAAAATATCAACTGGACAGTGGACGGATGAAGAAATAGATATAATCAATACTTATAATTTTTTAACTGCCAAGCCAACTGTGTATTTATTGAATGTTAGCGAGGAAGATTTTGTCAACCAACTGAATGAATTTAAACAAGACGTTGAACAGTGGATAAATGATAATTGTCCAAATGATATACTTTTAATGTTTTCAGCTTCCTATGAATCTAAAATAAATGAATGCACGACTCCCGAAGAGTTGAACCAGTTTCTTGCCTTACACAATAACAAAGCAAGTGCAAAATCTGACATAGTTGACCAGATGAGAAGTTGCTTAAATCTAATATCATTCTATACGTGTGGTCCCAAAGAGGCAAGACAATGGTCCATTCGCGAGGGAAGCACAATGCCAGAGGCTGCTGGCTTAATTCATACTGATCTTCAGAGGACATTTATTTCGGCTCAAGTTTACAAGTTTGATGACTTAGTAAATTTATCCCCACCATTCAACGAAGCATCACTTAAAAATAGTGGTAAGCAACTCAAATGTGGCAAGAACTATGTAGTGCAAGATGGAGATGTCGTTATTATTAAAGCTGGTAATGCAAATGCCCGATAAAGTCATGTATATAGAATCAAATGTAAATACTTCCCACCATCTCAATGTATGACTTTATCTTTCATTATCACGTTCATGAGTGATAAAAGCTTCACATGAATAGATAAGTACATCCATACACCTATAGTATGTACGCCTGTCACATTTCACATTTTTTCGAGTTTACCCTCTTTTCGAACGAAAACGGCTTATTGAAATTGGAGAATTCCAAGATAAGCCTATTATTTGTATTAATTCAATTTCGATTACCGCCGTTCAGTACATTCACTTGCCGGATTTCCCCCACTTTAGTATTTTTCGTGATAATCTTCAAATTTTCCTGCCTACTGTATTCGTTCAATTTTCTTTTGTTTAGGTAAGGTATCGTGATAGTTGATAATTTAATTTTGGATATTCATTTTTTATATGTTTCAGATTATAAGAAGAATTCAAAATAAGCCCATAGGTAGGAAAAGAATGATTCTGTCACTTTATAATTATATGTTCCCTCAAGCGAATGATGTGCATGTTAGGAATTATTCGACTAATAATCCTATAATTTCCGATGAAATAGCAGATAGTTTTCATCCGAAATTGAAGACGATTTTCCAGCAGCTAGATTCTATTGCTCCGAGATTTGTTTTAAACAAAGGTGATATCCAAATTTTAACTCATCCAATAGAGTTTTACGAATGTTTGAAAGAAAAAATTACCAACTCAAAATCAAGGGTATTTTTGAGTTCGTTATATTTTGGTAAGAGCCAACATGAATTAATTGAATGCATCGATAATGCAATGAGCAAGAACGAAGACTTACAAGTATTTATATTGATTGATTCGTTAAGAGGCACGAGGGAGGCACCTAAACACGCTTCTTCTGCAAGCATATTGGTTCCCTTAGTAGAAAAGTTCGGTAAACATAGAATTGATATTAGAATGTATCACACCCCACAGTTAAATGGATTAACTAAGAGCTGGACACCAAAGAGGATCAACGAGGGTTGGGGATTACAACATATGAAGTTGTACGGATTTGATGACGAGATTTTGTTAAGTGGTGCTAACTTATCAGAGGATTACTTTACGAACAGACAAGATCGTTATTATATTTTCAAGAATAAAGATTTGACTGATTATTATTTTGATATTCAAAAGGCTGTATCGTCTTTATCATACCAATTATTACCTTCAACCAAAAATGAACAAGGATTTAGATTATCGTGGCCAACATCTAATAGTTCTTGCGAACCTCATATGAACATGCAAAGGTTTATTAGTGATTCATCATTCTTGTTGGAGCCTTTGTTAAAGCAGCATAAGTTGAAGTCGTTTGACGAGTTCAAGGATACCAATAGATTTGATACAATTGTGTATCCTATTTCTCAATTTACTCCTTTGTTACAACCTAATAATGACCAATCTACCGAAAAACCAGCAATTTTGAGATTGTTGTCTTATTTGGATTCTCCAAAAATTAAATGGTGGTTTACTGCCGGTTATTTTAATATGTTACCTCAAATTCAAGATCGTCTTATAAATGGAAAAGCTTCAGGAGTTGTAATAACTGCATCATCTCAAGCAAACTCATTTTACAAATCTCCAGGTTTGTCATATTATATACCCCAAGCCTATTTGTTATGTGCTAAGAGGTTTTTAGAAGAGATTCATCGTAGAGGAAAACAAGATTTAATTACATTGAAAGAGTGGAAGAACGGTATTGTCAATACAGTTGATGGCTGGTCGTACCATGCGAAGGGATTATGGATAACCGTACCTGAAGAAGAAGAACCATCAGTGACTGTTATTGGTTCCTCAAATTATACAAAGAGGGCCTATCTGTTAGATTTAGAAAGTAATGCTATAATTATTACTAAAGATCCGGAATTAAAACATCAAATGAAAGGAGAAATTGATAATCTTTTATCTCATGTCGAGACATTGGACTTGAGTGCGTTTGAGCCAAAGTTACAAGCCAATCCTAAAGTAGAAACAGGCGAAAATGGAGAACCTCTTGAATCTAAGCCAGTATATGCGGTCGATGAGGATAGAAAAATCAGCCGTAGAACTTATTTGGCAGTAAAGTTTTTTGGTGATAAGCTTTGATTATTACTATTATATATATTATTTATTAAGCATCGTAATACGGATTCATGCAATTTCATTATCGTTTTTACTTTCAATATATTTAAGACGCAATGAAGGTGCTGCACCCTTATATAACTTTTTTTGCTGTATAGTCAATAAAGATAACGTAGAGGAATTAATCATTAAATAACACCAAGTATTGTAATTTACCAGGACTTCAAAATAAGGTACGTTTGCATTATGTAGCATAAACTTTGCTAGAGCTAAAAAAATAATTGAAAGCCACTGACATAATAAAAAGCGACTATGAAGTCCAATAACACAAGAACCGAACCAATTCATAGTTACCTGAGGTAGCAATTTCAAACACTCTGTAAGCTTAGCGAAAAACCACAAAAAGTCTATGACGTCTAACGTAGATAGCGTGGATTGATTTAAAATGCAACATTTTGAAATCCAAAATAGAACAAGTGTAATACTGACAAGGTATAACTTGTTTAATCCACTTACACATTGATCTATGTTCCTGGTTCTTGAATAGATATAAAAAAGTTGGATCAAAATTCCAGTAGACATTATTAATCCTAGTATATCGATTATTAAAATTGGAATTGAGACAAAAATGCTTGGATATACCGGAAACCTGGCTCTATACTGCTTGATGATTACTGGATTCATACAATAGTTAATTGTAGTTACAGTTGAGGCTAAATAATATACCCATGATAGGACTATATAATCGTAAGATAGTCCGTAAATCGATTTTTTTTGTTTGTTATATTGAACTTGATAAATATAAGTTGATAATTGAATGAAAGCAGATATCACCATACATATTTCTATTATCATTGCATTTTCAATTAATACTAGAAGTAGAACATGTAGCATATAAGTTTCCATACTGATAAATAAAAACCAAGTATGGTCGTGAATTAACCAAGAAATATATCTAGACGAAACTACAATATATAGACGAGATAACACTGTCAAATCATAACCTAACCACGGTATATCCAGGAAAAATGCTGTCACCAGAAACAGAGGGATATTGGAATATTGTTATTTCGTCACTCCAAGATATTTGCAGTGCCAATGAATCACTTTCTTTTGACAGTTTGTACAGTAAGTACGCTAAAGATTCAATGAAAGGTTTATCAGAAGAAGAATTAAATAAATTGAACGAGGAAATAACGGAACATAAATCAAACGTGGGAACAGCTAAAAGGTTGGTTTCTGTTTCGCAGGAAAACTTACAAACCTTAATTACCAATTTGCAAACCTCTACCAAGCAGGCGAATGAAACGTCACCACAAAAACCTGCAAGCCAACAGCCAGCAGCATCTAAAGCTAGCGGTAAAGCACATAATAAGAAAACGAATCCTAAGAAGGTGGGTAGACTGTATTATACATCGAAATTCAACCCTCTGGAACCTATTTACGTTGGATCTGAGGTAGCCTTCAAATTGAAAAATAGACACTTTGAAGAATGGATCCAATGTGAGGTAATGAAAGTAATAGGTGATGGAATTAAGTTTGAAATTAGGGATCCAGAGCCGGATGAAAATAATAATCCTGGCCAAACTTTCAAAGCAGGCTACAAAGAAATTTTATTAATACCTACGCTTGAAGATGTACCTGATCTCGTAAACTATCCTTACGGATCTAAAGTAATAGCGAGATACCCGGAGACTACTACATTCTATCCAGCAATTGTTGTTGGTCATAAAAAGGATGGTAGTGTGAGATTAAAATTTGATGGAGAAGAAGAAGTAAATAAAGAAACAGAAATAGAGAGGAGACTAGTACTACCATTCCCAGAGAAATGATCCTTGATATATCTTCATGTCGTTGTTAATTCTGTAACTATTAAATAATTTGTATATTAGACATTAAATAATTATTACTACTTGTGGTCGTGTCCATACTGAAGAAATATTCCTCGATCAACTAATTACATTTACTGCCCGTAAAGAATACTCATAGTTAAAAAGCACATAATTTGAATAGTACTAGCGTATCAAAATGGAAGATATGGACATTGATGATTATTCTAGAGTATGTAATATTATTTGTAAATAAATAACTAGCTGGATTGAATGTAATGGTAATATTAAACTTCATAACTGATTTGATTGATTAGATTTTGGTAGATGCTTTCTTTCTCATTTGCTTTACTGCTTGTTGGATAGGAATGGATGCTTATTTCGATCCTTCGATTTCTATATTATACAAGGATAATTGTTTGATGCTACCCTTATTCATTCATCGATGCTGATTTTTTCATCATATAAGAAGTAGTTTGCTAATATGTTAATTAGGATCGCTCACGGTCGCCGGTAAGAGAGAGGTCTCGTTCTCCAGCGCCAAGGAAAGAATCATTTTCGAAAGACTCAAGGGATTCGAGGGATTCGAGGGACTCTAGAGACTCGAGAGGGTCGAGAGATTCATATTCTAGCAGAGATTATGGATATTCACGTGGTAGGTATGGTGGTGATAGAAGAGGAGGAGGAGATTTCGGTAGAAGAGACACTTACAGAAGAGGTGGATATAGGGGTGGTAGAGATTATGGATCAAGAAGAGATTATAATAGCGCTTCTTATTCTAGTGGATCAGATGAATATCGTACAAAGACAGAAAGAAATTACGATAATTCAATATTTGTCGGCAATATTCCATTTGGATGTACTTCAAAAGATGTCGAAGAGATATTTAAAGGCGACTTAGATATAGTTAGAGCAGACATAGTCACGAATAGGGGCCAGTCTCGAGGTATGGCAACTGTTGAATTTTCTAACAAGGATGACGTACGCAAGGCAATTTCTAAATATGATCATCATGAATATCGTGGTAGAGAAATTTTTGTTAGACAGGACTACCCACCACCTGGAGATAAGAAAAAGGAAGCCAGTCAATCTGGAAGTTCAGAAAGATTCTCTCGTAGCAGCACGTACGCTGAAAGAAGCGATAGGTTTTCTAAAAGAGCACCGCAATCAAGAGAAAGATTTCAACCATCTGCTCCTAAGCCAGGCACAGAAATTTTTGTTGGAAATTTACCATTTTCAATCAATTGGCAAGCATTGAAAGACTTGATGCGCAAAGCTGGTGAAGTGGTTAGAGCAGATGTCAGAACGGACAATTGGGGTAAGTCAAGAGGTTTCGGTACTGTCGTATTTAGCACCGAAGAAGAGGCAGCTAGAGCAGTAGAAGAATTCCAAGGATTCGAAATTGAAGGCAGAAAACTCGATACTCGTCCGGGACGTGTCTACAGCCAAGAAAGAAATAGCAGCTCAGATATAGTATCCTCGAATACTAATGAAAATCCAGAAGCTACACATGAGAATACAGAGTTCACTGAAAACGTAACTGGTGATGGCGAAAAATCTAATACCATTTTTGCCTCGAATTTACCATGGGTCACCAATGTTGATGACTTGTATGAGTTATTCGAAACTATTGGAAGGGTCACTAAAGCAGAAATCCAATACAATGAAGCTGGTAAGCCATCAGGTAATGCTGTTATCCAATTCGAGTTAGAAGAGCTCGCAGAATTAGCTATAGCTAATTTAGATAACTACAATTACGGTGGCAGAGATTTAAAAATTTCCTACGCTAATAAATTGTGAACGACTGTTTAGGGAAGTATCAATTATACATTGGACCACGCTGGTGTAGCTTTGCTTAGTCAAAAAGTAAGTCAATAGCTTTCCGTAATCCATTAGTGTTTATATTACATAATCAATAAAATAAACTCATTTAACCAAGAAATTTAAGGATAAACCCTGTAGTATCATTAGTATATCAATTCTTAATAATGAGTTCGATACGGAATACAGAAGGAGAAGGATCATCTTTTTATGATTACTATGCTCATACTAAAGGGAAGGTGAAAACACATCATGTATTGTTAGTGTTTTTTATTATCACAGCCATAGTTCTATTTCACTTTAGACACAAGTTGGCAGCAGCGCACGATAGATATAGGACTAGAAGACGATCACGTTTTAGTAGACTTCCATCCGATGAGAATGGCTTTGAAGATGACTTGGAAAATGGTCTTAGCAGTAGTACATTTGATATAGGGGAGAATATTTCAAATAATGACCAAAGACAAGGATTACTGCAAAACTCAAAGGAAGAAATTAAAAGAATTATGGAAAATAGTAATTTATCATTTGATCAGGCTAGATACCAATATACTCAACAGCAGTTAAGTGAAAATGGAGTAGGAAAGGATGGCACTCCACTTGACCCTAAAACCGTAACATTCAGCCATCGTTGATACACGTGACTTTTGTTTGTTTACATATTACAATTCGAGAAACCCAGATCTTACTCTATTCATATCTACTGATTATATTTCTTTATAGGCTTAATAAAGAAGTATTCAACTCTAGACCGTAAGAGATGAGTGTTTACAATCGATATGCTTCAGGAGAATACGATAAGACGCATTTCGAAAAGGCAAACAAAAGTAAAGATGATGATGACAAGGTAGGATTGATACAGATTTCTCCATTATTAGGCCAGTTCAGCACGTCGGATATTTTACATAAATTTAATGAAAAAAATATTGAAGAGTGGTTAGCTATATTTCCAAAAGCTGCATATTTTAAGGGATATGATGAGACATTGTTTGGGAATGTTGTAATCATGGTTTATGAAAATTTGCATACTGGGAAGTTAAACACCACCTCGTTTAGTAAATTTGGTGTTACATCTTACGATAATTTAGTGTTAGATGCTAGATCGAGGTTTTGGCCGAGTTGTGAAAATTTGTTGCCCACCTATCAAAAATCTAACGTTAGGAGGAGTTTAGCTATAACTAACTTGAAGAACTATAACAAGCTTTCAAACAGTCCGGGAAACTTTGATATCAATAAGAGCTGGGACGAAACCTATGCAGGTAATTTAGCAAATAATATGCAATTGATTTCAGAGAAGAGACCTGAAAAATTTGGATTGAAACTCTTAGAGTTAGGTTTACTTCAAACTCATTGTATACAATCCACTGTTTTAGATGTTATTTATGATAATTCATCATCAGAAACAAGTGATAAGATAATAGAAGAGAACAATAAATTGGTTTTCTTAATTGGGACTCAGATGGAGCAACTATTTGATCCTTTATTGGAATATTCACCAGAGATTATGGAATTCTCTTATACTGTGCCGACAGATACTATTCCACCTAAGATAAAAAACAATGAATTGATAAATACAATCATAAGCGAGTTGCTTACTGTACAAACAAATTTTACAATGGGTTTGGTGAACTTGTTACAGAATTTTATCATTCCATTGCGTATCCATGTTTTAGCGGCCTCATCTTCTTCAGGTATTACAAAAATTAATCAAGTTTTTCCCCCAACAATAGATGAAATCACCAGAATAAACTGTATATTACATGATTCTTTGAAAAAGGCATCCGCGTTTGGATATGTTGAAATAATGAAAGCTATTGGTACTATAATGCCATATTTTTATAAAGCATTTATTAGACACGAAGCAAATTTAAAGAACTTTAGAAATAAATTAGCAAAATTTCACAGTAAAAACGAAAAGAAAATATTTGGCAACAGTATGATAAATAAAGGTAATTTTGGGATAAGGGATATTGATTCAATTGTAGCTGGGTCTCTATTAGAATTGCCCAAACTTAAGTTGATACTTGTCAGATTGAAGGATTCAATCATTTCTGAAAAAACGAAATTAACAAATTTTGAAGATGAACCAAGCGATGAATTTTCTACAATTGAAAGGTATTTTAATTCTGCAATAGATGTCATCGATGCATTCGGATTTGAGGAGGAGCGTAATGAAACACAAATAGATATTCGACAAAGGGTTTTCACTCCTACTGGAAAAATATTGACAGAATTAGCGTCTAAATGGCCATCCGAATTGCAATATGGATGGCTAGCACGTAAAGTAGTAGGAATTTATGAAATGAGAAATATAAAACCTTTTAATAATTCATTTTATGATTTAGATATTTTGATTATATTCTCAGACCATATACTATTTTTGACTATCGTGGATGATGCATATTATTGTGAAAGAAACAATCAATCATTTAAAAACCTTTCTGTTTCCGACATTTTGATGCATTCACTAGTAAATGATAAGCCATTACCAAGTTTGAAGCTGCTACCTTCGATGGAAGTAAATTGCTGGTGTAACATAAACGAAGTAATAACAACTACTTATAAAGGATTATCTCCTATTACATCGAAGACTCAAGAATTTCTAAAATTTGTAAATATTTCTAAGACAGGGTTTAAAAATAACAATGAAGACAATTGTACTATTAGTAAAAGTTACGAAATTTTAGATGGGAGTGATAGGGGAAACATCGATGGGTGCAAAATAATAGAGTTAATAAATAAGTCAACGGTGCTAAATAAAAGGAAACCATTCCATTTGTTTAAGTCAAATGATCCAAAACTACATGTATATTCTATTGCGCAAGAACTATCCGCATATCAGGAAGAAACTTGTAAATCACCAATGGCATTGTACTTGAATTTACCGATTCATAATTCAAAAAAATATTTTGAAGAAAATCAAACTGTTCACTTTGTATTAAATGCATCTTTTATAAATGACCATCAAATTCATATAGTTGGTTTTAATAGGGCTGATACATTTGAATTAAACGAAATAATTTCCTCTAATGATTTACAAGTTTGCTTGAAAGAAGCAATAGTGAAGAATTTTAGTTTACTATTTAACAATTTTAGTAATATTTCAAAACTACTTACTCAAAGTTATGCTTATGACGTGAATTATTGTGCAAATATTTTTACACAAATTGATGAGATTCAATTAAATAAACAAAGACTGGAAATTGCAAAAAATAATCATATATCATCTGATTCCAAACTTAGAACAAGAAATGTATCAGAAATTATATCCATACCAGAAGTTCATATGACAAAGATCCTGCCTTCAACTACAAATGCGGAAGAGCAAAATCTCCAGCGGAGAAAGACGGAAAGAGTCCTCGTGGCAGAAAGTAAGAACTATTCCAGAGATGCAGAGGTCAAACATAGTTCACAAGAAATATCAAGCAAGCGAAATTCTATAATAAGGAAGGTTTTTAAATCCATTAGACGGTCTTTTGATGGAATTGAAAATGCTACGCCTAAAGTTGAGGTACACGAAAGTAAAATTAGTCCATCTGTGCAAGATAATTCATCGTTTTCTGGAAAGAAAAACGAGTATACTAGCCTATATAAACCATTACCTCAACTTCAAACAAAAGAAAAAAAATTCACTGAAGTTAATAATTCAGAAGAAATCGAGAGTAGAAATGATATTCAAGCATCAAGAGGATGTGATAGTTCTGTTCAACAATCAAGAAATACTTCGGGATCTTTGGATGTGAATTCTCATTTTGAATTTCCACCACATACTGATTCACTCTCCGAATCAAATAACAATACTATTATTTTAGTGGATGAGTCTGAAAAGAAGCATAAAAAGAAGCCAACAGAAGAGAGTATTTTGATAGTAGATAGCGCAAATTTGCATTTATCAAATAATACAAGTAGACTGGCAAATGAGGACTATGGAAAGTTCAACGTAGAAGACTTTTACGATGATGGAGAGGCAAATTGGGTATCGTTTTCTATTGATAATTACTCACAGTTAAATGCTGAAATTAGAGCCTTGAAGGAAGAAGCGCATATGGATACGGAGGATGTTATCGAATTGAATGATTCATCTAACACATCAGAGTACGAAATTCCAGATGAATATGAATCTAAAGGGTTTGAGGCCTTTTATACTCCTCAGAATCAACTGGTTGCGCAGTTTGGAGATAATCCAACATTGTTGGAGACTAATAGAGAAATGTCAACCCAGTCTTTGGCGTCGTCTGAAATAATTGAAGTTTTTGGTAAGCAGATCGATTCTAATTTTAGAAGTGAATATATTCCCAGTTTAAATGGAAATCTGAACCTGATTAATTACAACAAGACATTTGTCTCACAAAATGATCATAGGTTCTCTGTTCTTACAAGTTCCGAAGATGAGTTTTTTTCTTCAGATGATTTCGCGAGCAGCTTGCCACCTAGTAATCTTATGAAATCTCCTACCCCCTCTCCAATAATTTTGAATTCGAGTTCTAGTGATGCAACAATAATTAATGAGAACTTAGAAGAAAAGCTTCTACCAGCAATTCCTGTTGACTACGATAATAAAACACTGGTATCGTCGCAGATACATGAAAGTATGCATAGTCCTTTTGCCAGAAGTGATTCCATTAGTACTACATATGAATCAATGACTTACTTATCGGAGATTCTAAACGGTAATTTAAGCTTTTAATATTATCTTAAGACAACTAATGTATGATTTATATTATATAATTAAATACAATCTAGACATATAACTAAGATGATTGCTTCAATATTTTCTTGACTGCTTCAGCAATAGCATCACCAACTTCTTTGGTAGAGCTTGAGCCGCGTAAATCTCCTGTTCTTATTCCGGAATCTAAGACTTGTCCAACGGCTTTTTCCAATGCTTCAGCTTCTGGTACACAATCTAATGACAACCTTAACATCATTGCCACGGATAAGATAGTAGCGACTGGATTAACCTTGTTTTTCTCTAAATCTGGAGCTGAACCATGACAAGGTTCATACAAACCAAAAGCAGAATTGGTATCAGGCAATGAAGCCAAAGAAGCAGAAGGTAAAAGACCCAAAGATCCAGGAATAACAGATGCTTCATCAGAAATAATATCACCAAACATATTAGAAGTGATGATAATCCCATTTAACTTAGTTGGTGATTGAATCAAAATCATAGCAGCAGAGTCAATTAATTGATGTTGAATCTTTAATTGTGGAAATTCTTCAGACATAACTTTATCAACAGTTGTTCTCCATAATCTTGAGGATGCTAAAACATTAGCCTTATCTAAAGACCAAATTGGCAAAGGTGGATTATGTTGCAATGCCATGAAGGCGGCCATTCTAGTAATTCTGGTTACTTCTTCGACGGTATACTTTTCAGTGTCCCATGCAGTTTGCTTGTCTTCTGATTCTGCTTGTTCCTGTCTTTCTCCGAAATAGATACCACCAACTAATTCACGAACAACTGTAAAATCAGTTCCTTTCACAACTTCAGATTTTAATGGAGATAATTCCAATAAACTCTCAGATGCAAAGTTACATGGTCTCAAGTTAGCATACAAATTCAATTCTTTTCTAATTTTCAATAAACCTTGCTCAGGTCTAACGGAACCAGTACCCCATTTTGGACCACCGACAGCACCTAATAATACAGCATCAGAATTTTTTGCAGATTCCAAAGATTCATCTGGTAATGGACTACCAGTAGCATCAATTGCAGCACCACCTATCAAATAATTTTTTAAATTGAACTTGATATTTCTATATGGGGTAGTTTCCTCAATAGCGTGCAAGACTTTGATCGCTTCATCACAAATCTCTTGACCGACATGATCACCTGGTAAAACTGTGATGGTTTTGCTTATATCGACTTTCGATTTTTTTAATTCGGGTTGGGACATTCTTTTTGTTTTTGTTAATTCTCTTTGTAAACTTAGGAAAGAAGAAGTGTTGGTTAATGTGAGTCGATTTTATATTCCATATATTATTTGAAAAATATACCGACCGATACCGCGCATTTAATCCCGGTACCGGTGCTCGCTTTACATAATCTACATATGAATATGACCTATAAACAGATGAATGAAGATCTCAATGACCACTCCATTCAATAGAATCCAAATCGATTCCTTCTTGAACCATTTCCCATAATGGAGACATTTTTCTTAAAAATTCCACCCTTTCAGTAATAGCCTTGATAACGTAGTCGACTTCCTCTTCTGTTGTAAATCTACCAATGCCGAATCTAATAGAAGAATGCGCCAATGCATCATCAGCACCCAAAGCATGTAAGACATAAGATGGTTCCAATGATGCAGAGGTACAAGCTGAACCTGAAGATAAAGCAATGTCCTTTAATGCCATCAACAAAGATTCACCCTCAATGTAGGCAAATGAGACATTAACACAACCGGGGTATTGGGAATCAGGGTCGGACAAACATCCATTAAACTGAGTTGAAGGGATAGCTAATAAACCGGCCTTCAATTTCTCCGAAAGTCTATGAATATATGCTTGATCATACTATAAATATTGGTTAGTAAATGTTGTGAAAAGCAAATTGCAGCCTTGTGACGAAGGCAACGAGATTCAGATCCTTGCATAAATTAAAATTTCATCAAGGCATAGAGAGTAAAAGAGATATATCTCATATGCTAGGGTTCTGAAATCATCATATTCATCTCATAATTCAATGCCACAAGGTTGGAAAATTAATCAATAATACATACTTTCATTTCTTCCTTCATAAGTCTAGAGGCTTCACCGAAACCAGCGACTAATGGTGGAGCTAATGTACCAGATCTTAAACCTCTTTCTTGTCCACCACCGGTAATGATTGGGTCTAATCTCACTCTTGGACGTCTTCTAACGTAACACGCACCAATACCTTTAGGTCCGTAAATCTTGTGAGAAGATATTGACATTAAATCAATGTTCATTTCGTTAACATCAATGTCAATTTTACCGTAAGCTTGGGCTGCATCCGTGTGGAAGAAAATTTTGTTTTCTCTACAAATCTTACCAATTTCCTTCAAAGGTTGAACAACACCAATTTCATTGTTAACAGCCATAATAGACACTAATGAAGTATCTTTACGGATACTTTTGCGCAAATCATCTAAGCTAATTAAACCTTCTTCATTGACAGGTAAGTATGTGACTTCAAATCCTTCGTCTTGCATATGTCTTGCAGAATCCAAAACACACTTGTGTTCGGTCTGGGTCGTGATAATATGCTTCTTAGTATTTTTATAAAAACGTGGGACACCCTTGACTGCCATATTATTAGATTCTGTAGCACCTGAAGTGAATATAATTTCTTTTGGATCAGCTTTAATAACATCAGCAACATACTTACGTGCCTTTTCGACTTCCTTTTCCGTTTCCCACCCATAAGAATGCGTAGAGGAATGCGGATTACCATACAATCCAGTATAAAATTCTAACATTTTGTCAAGAACTCTTGGGTCAGTGGGGGTAGTGGCCTGAACATCCAAGTAGATGGGTCTGGTACCGAATTTAGAGTCATCTCTACCAGCACTCTTTAAAGTAATCGTTGATCCAGAGGGTGGAGCTGCAACAGGTGGTTCAACAATAGTTGCGGTATGGACTCCGCTTGCATCCGAAGTGGTAGCTGATAATGGTGAATTTCCGCTAGAAATTTGACGGACACCATTAATAAGCGAACATCTAGCACGATAATTCCTAAGAATAGATAATCCTCTTAATTGTTTGGATAACATGTTTTAATATTACTCCTATAATCAAAATAAAGTAAGATTAATACTACTAATTTATCTATTTGTTATAAGAAGGAGATAATCTTTTGAACCGATGATGGAGATAAAATAAATCTATTTCTATATGTCTATTTTTGTGTAACTTATTATATAAGAGAATCATCAGCATCAACGCTACTGTAGTTTACGTTTATCCGAGTAGTATGTCGTTAAAGTAGTATGAACTAGCTCATAGCAGCCTAAGAATATAGCACCACCTGCACTTATCCAACAAGTTCTAGGTCCGATCCCATTTAAAAACACTCTATAGCCTTCTTCATTTATAATAGTTCTAACTAACGGAATTGGACTCACTCTTTCTTTGCTTAACATAATTCTAGTCTTGATAACATCCAATGGGGTGGTTACAGCTGCAGCTATACCACCGGCAACAGAACCACATGTTGCACCTTTCAATAAAGATAATTTGTCGTCTTCATATTCGGCCCATTTTTTTTTTAACCATTCATATAAAGGAAACTGGATAATTGTAAACGGGATTTCTCTTAATATAGTCGTGTTCCATCCTCTGTATAATCCTCTAATTAAACCTTCACCGGATTTATTTTGAAGTAAATATAAGAAATTGGACCATGAAGATGCTTTAGCTCCAACCCCGTGTATACCTGCTTGAGTTCTTTGCTTGATAACTTCTGCAGGAACTCTTACAAGGCAAGCTGCTATTTCACCGCAAGACGCAGATATCATATGTCCTACAGCAGGCAGTGATGTCTTGTCTTTGGTTTGGGTTTTCATAAAATCATATGTAACGAAGAATAATGATGCTGACGGAGCAGATGCAACCACACATGAGCCTAGCCCTTTATATATACCGCTCCATCCCCCATTAGCAAAAAATCCTCCCTTTGCTTGTAACCTAGTCTTTAAAGTATCGATGGGAAAAAATGCTAAATCAGTCGAAGTACCGGCACATCCTCCACTCTAAGATAAAGTTAGTATTGATTTATTTTCAACATATGTTGTGGATTACATACAATTAGTGATATTAGAAACGTCAGATTATCCATCGTATGCTTTTTGGGATGTTGATAACGAAGGCCGAAGAATGGAAAATTAATGTTAACTACATTTCGTTGATTCATGAATCATGTATTATATACAGGAACGTAGATTATCTGGGACAAACTATAAATCTATTCTTTCCAACTCTCTTCTTCTTAGCATACTTTAGTACAATTGACTCAGGCTTTTTGCCTTTTGGAATGAATTCCTCGATAAAAGGAAGAAACTCTTCGTACTCCCATTCTTTTACTATTTGAAATAACTCTTTGACTCTAGTACTCATATCACCGGGTGTTAAAGTTGATGGGTTTAGGAATTGAATTTGTTCATTGAGTGGACGGCAATAGTAACCTCTCATTTGGGATAGATCGATTGGAACATTGTAGAAAGGAGGAAAGGATGACTTCCATTTTAATAAGAAATCCTTTGGGGAAATGAGACGAGCGTTCGTACTAAATAGCGTTTGTATTCCAAACCACTTAGATACTGCAAGATTGTTTAGCCTGAATCTATTTGACGCATGATCCTTAATACAGAACTTATGGAGAATTGTATTAGTCACTTCTTGAGTGTATAGCTTGTTCTGCAGGTACAAATCTTGGGAAATATCTGCTATGCTTATATTGAAGGCATCGCTTTTGTAGTCTATGTCCTTCGTAATTAATACGGGAATTAATAATTGCAATCCCTCAGTAACAAATTCTTTGGAAAGTATGACTGCATTTCCATTAACCTCACATCCACACAATGTATACCATTCATTATAGAATTCTTCCCTAGAGATCGGTGAGTCGTTCATTAAGGTTTCAACGTTATGAAGGGCTTCACACTCATATGTGGCTTCAATTTTACCGTCATATATAGGCAAATTGCTTATTTCTATATGACCTGGGATTTTGGAAAGTTCATATTCATACGCAAGGTTTGCAATTCCCAATAGTTTGTTTGTAGGTTCCTCAATTGGTATAATATGTTCTATAGTTTTATTCAATTTATTTATATTCATATTGTTTAGCAAAAGGACGCTATTAGAATGATTCATTTGTCTCATCTTCCAAGTTTTATTATTCGTTACTAAAACTATGTGGTTTTTCAGAGTCGATGGTGACTTTAAAAGTAATTCACCATGCTCATTAGACTTGATATAATCTAAAAGTTCCGGTGAAAGTTGAAGAAGTTTGTACGTATGGTCTTTGGGAGACTTTATCTCTTGGTATGCTGAATATGAGTTTTTCGATGCCATTGTAGACTGTCTTGGTGGATTACTTCTTATTTGATTTAGCTTCAATAGTTATACGCGTTATTCTCGATTCATTAAATGGGATAATTTCAAAAGACTTAGAAAAAATATAAAATTTAATACTAAAATTACTATTAAATGGGACAAAAAGCCTCCCATTTAACTAGAATTTATTATACAAAATATTTAAGATTTTACAAACTTCCCACTTTGAAATGCGAACTGTCCTTCGCATAAAAACTAAAACGATCGAAACAGTGGAAATCGATCACTTAAAATTGAGGAATACACTACAGCTATAGAGATTATGTATTTATGTCGGTTGATTTGTATAATAGTATCAAGGAGAGGATATCAATGTCATGATATATAAGATGATCATTATGAGAAAGAGGAACAGCAGTAGAAATGGGATGCTAAGAAAATAAAAAATATTATGGTACGAAAATTAGTTATGTCTGACATTACACTAGTTAAAAGATATATAAGATAGAATACACATACATATACGCATATATATATAAAGAAAGTATAGGAGATAATGCAATTAATTTTGTTCATCAATAAATTGATCAATATCGATCTCGTTTAGTTTTGCATCACCAGCCAAACTAATTTTTCTTTGATGTTCAGTTGAATATTGTAATTTTGCCAACTTAGCCTGAGGACCCCAGCCGCTAACAGGAGCATTCAATTTAAAAGGCAAGATCCAGTTACTGATGATTTTAAAATGCTCACCTAAAGTGACAAGTTCATGTATCAAATCTTCAATACAAATACACCCCAAGTCATCACCAAACTTATCTTCAACAACACCATTATTGTCCAACTTTGTGATACGGGGTTCTTTAGTTTCTTCATCTATGACAGAAATACATGCTCTCTTTTGAAATAATTTACGAATGGAATTCAAAGATGGTTTTCCAGCAACGATATATGGCGAAATCAATTTTAACAAAGGAACAGTGGCAGGGGTCAATTTCACAAATACACCCGTGTTTGGTCTGTTCAAACGTAACAATTGCAACACTTTGCGCGCTTTTGATGGAATCTTTAATCCCTTTGTATGGTCTGGAATTCTAATAATGAATAATAACTTTCCAGATTCATCATCTTCCTTATCTTGGCTTATTTTATCTGCTTGTTGCTGTTTCTCGAACTTAGTTATATGCTTAATTCTCTTGTTTTCTAATTCATTAGATTTGTAGTTTGAGACTAAAGTTTCAGCTCTAACAAATTTTTTAGAACGTTGATCGTTTTTCTTCTTTTGTTCAAGCTGTCTTTGTCTGGCTTGTTCTTGTTTCTCTAACCTCTTTCTATCATTATTCTTTCTCTTACGTAAGAGGATCTCTGGATTTGAGTTTAATACTGCCATGTCTATCTATGATATATACTGTTGATAAAATATTTTATTCTAAGAGATACTAAATTCTTCAGATGAGCTTTCTAAAAAAAAAATCCAAGCCGCACAAAACAAATCACATGACGACATGGCTATTATGGCGACTTTTGATAATACCTCTACCGAATAAGACCAAAGGATACAAGAAAAATGCAACACCCCAGGGACTCGTGATATCCCATTACAGAAAGGAAAATGTTCGATAGAATACTAAATCGAGTTCTGGTCTTTTGCGGTTGTGACTAGGTGTCCCGCACTTGAAAGAATTTTTTACGTGCTGAGTTTGTGGTTTTCACGTAGAATACGATGATTAGATGTTTTATCGACCATCTACTGGAGTCTGCGCATACTGTAAATACATTAGAGAAGGTGCCAGTTTAATTGTAGCATATGGTGACCTCAATGCAACATACCACTACTTGCCAGCAAGATTTTCAAAAAGAGCCTGTACAAGAGATAAACCAGCCCAATTAACGATTGTGTTTTGTAAGTAGAGAACTTAGATAAGTAATAGCGACTAGAGAAACATATCGTCTATCAAGATGGACATTTCATGGTGGCTAAGGTAGTGCCGACGCACGTACACTTCTCACAAATTTTTTTGATCCAGTTCTCATAAATTTTTTCTCCTCTTAAAATACTAGCATTCTACTATTGGTATTCAACATTGCTAATTCCCTGGTATATTGAGCTATAGAAAAAGGAAGAGATTTATTCTAAAGCGATTGTAAATATACTTAGGTCCATTATTCGAAATTTTATTTTTTTTGTTTCGTCTCCAAATTCTAGGTGTTTTTTGCATTTCCCTTTAAGGTACTAGATAGAGGTATCCATACTTGAGCACAGGGGGATTTTTAAAAGTTTTGCATAATATTCATAAGTGTCATTATAAATTGAGTCATTAAATTGACCTACTGCATGTTTGACAGTTAGATAAAAGAATATACAAAGAATAAATCATATGGATCAGAAATTGGAATCTTCAAATTACATTTTTCCTAATCAGAATCATTCCAGCCAGGGACAATCGTCATTGCAGAGTCACGCAATTCGCCATCAGGATTCACAAATGCCATACGTGAAGAATGAATCGGAAGGAGGATTGGGGTCTCCGATCAACCACCCAAGTTTTCAACAATACAAGGGTCAACCCAATTTACAAAGGCCAGAATTTCCAAGCCATGGGGAGTTTACTCCACAACAACAAACACACAACATTCAGAATTATAATCAGCAAATGCAGCTTCACTTTGAACTTCAGCGGCAATATATGGCAGGCAATATCGAGAACCCGCAAGTATACAATGATCAGCCGGGTGGAAATTTAACCCAGGTCTATAACATGCCGTCACCATTTCAAAATAGGGCCAATAATGAAAATGCTACTGCTAATATGAACCCCATGCAACCCAGGCCTGTGGAAGCAGATGTAGGTATGCTTAATACCAAGTCACCAATTCCTAGTAGGGCTTCAACACCAGTCGAAAATATTACTGGAATGCAGGAGGCACCATCAACAGGTAGAAAGAGATATAGAAAATCAGACCATGCGGTCCCAGGTGATGACGGTGATAACGAGTTGAAACAGTTGGCATTTAAGGCGTCTCAACTACCACTTTCCGATCTTGCATTACGAATCAAGTCAGTTGAAAATGATGATTCTATCCCAGAAACCAAAACGAGTTATTCCACATCCAAGGACACCAGTAAAGAAAGGCAACGTCAAATATTTGGCATGGTCTGGTTACTCAATTCATGTGAATCGTCGGCCACCGCAGTCGTTCCCAGAAATAGGATTTACGCAAGATATGTTCAAATTTGTGCGGACAACAGTTTAAAACCTTTATCACCTGCAAGTTTTGGTAAATTGGTTAGAATCTTATTTCCTAACTTGACCACTAGAAGATTGGGTATGAGGGGCCAATCCAAGTACCATTATTGTGGAATCAAGTTAGTAGGTGACCAAAATATCCAAGCTGGAAATTCGCCTACATCAGCATCACCATCAATTGGAAATGATTCTCCACAATCTTTACAGAACCCTAATACCCCTTCTGTATCCAACAGTCCTATTACTTCTGGTATTTCTGCATCAAACTCATCAGCCGCATTAAATTCTATTTTGTCAAACGGTGAATATTTGGCTAATGACTTAAAGCACATTCCAAATCTTTTCGGTTTGATCGACCTGTCACTTAATGGAGAAAATTTGAATTCGCCATTAAATTTACCCTCAATTTATCCATATTTACCAAGAGATGCTGATTATGATATTGCTGATACATTGTACTCGTTGTACAAAGTTCACTGCACATCAGTTTTTGAATTTTTAAGATACATGCAAGTCAGAAAATTGTTTTCTTCTTTTGCTAGTTTCAATGGGATTTTGACAGCACCGGTTTTTAAATTGTATACTAATGATTTAATTTCTGAATGGGTCAATGAATGTGATAACATAATGTACAAAACAATGGCTAAAATGTTGACTAAGTTACATCTTCAGAGTGTCCCTGATGACGTTTTAAGACAGCTAAAACAAATTTCGAACCAATATGTGGATAAATTATCATACTCGCTACAGAATAAAGTACCTAAATATTTTATGGCCATGAAAATAAAGAATGCCAAAAAGTTCATTATGATTCTTTCACGTTTAGTTAAGGTAATTGAGACAGGGTATTCTGCGTCAAGAATTTTGAACAGTGCACCAGAGAAACAAGCTATGATTGACGATTGGCTAAAATTAGATATTAACGAGATTGTTTTACGAGAAGTTCCCTGCTCGAAGGGAAACGTAGATTCATTATTGCATGTTTTAAATGATGATCTTCTTACCATATTGCATGAGCAAGTTAATTCCGAAACATCATCTGTGTTAACTAGATCTGCCAATTTTCTTGCGGAATTACCTTCTAAGTTTTCTAATGTCAATCCCAGATTATTTACATTAGTTTCTAGCAATTTGCTTACGACATGTCTTCGAGAAATCAGTTTAAACGGAGGCCAAGGATTTGGTACTTGGTGGATTGTTAGATGCTGGGTAGACGAATACCTCAACTGGTGTTTTGAATTAGGAGGATATTTTCTGGATGATTTTTCTACCTCTTTCAATGAGATGCCTATTCCAGACAAAGATACCAATGAAAAAACTAACCCAAAAGCCGATACCAGCGCAAATAACACCAACACTAGTATGGGCCAATTTGATGACTCTTCAAATGATCAATTACGTCTCTCGAGTATTGTTGACCTTTTAGATGGTGCGTATGGTACGGATTCGGTTAAAGACGATCAAAGTAACAACGAAATGATGTTAAATTACGATTCAGTTGGAGTTGAAAATTTCTTAGGTAGGAATGACGATTTATTAAATTAAAGGATTCAATTTGCATTTTTCCATGATTCCCATTATTGCATTAGCTTTATAAGTACATACACAGTAAATTTGGCATTACAGTACATATATGATATTATAGGCTTTAAATATATCTATGAATATATATTTTGCATTTTTAGAGTTCTTTTTGTGTATTTCATAGAATTGTATGAATTTAAAAAGCTGCAAATTGTGTCCAAGAATGAACTTTGTCTAACCATTCAAAAAATGGATAGACTACATAATAGAGACCTGAAAGCGCTTAAATATGACGGTGGTATAACAAAATCATTGACTTTCGAGGTGTACCCGGATAATTCAGCATCAGAATTAGAATTTGAAAATGGTGATATTAAGTTAATACACGGAAATAAAGGACCAGAAAAAAGAGGATTAGCAGCTAAGCGGTACATCAGCTTAAACAGAATAGTTAAGGTGTTTGAACCAAAATTGAAAACCATCAATAGTTTACCTCTGGACAGCTGTAATGATTCGTGCAAGAATGTGTGTCAAAATTGTTTGGCGGCAAATACCTTCATAAATGATGAACTTCCGAGTTTTGTTGGATATGACTGTTCAAAGCCTAAAGATATCGACTCAATTATAGAGTCTAAGATGGTAACTTGTGAAAAATGTCGAATTTACAAATATTGTAATCAGGAATGTTACAATGCCCATTGGAATCAAATGCACCGGTACGAATGCCATTTCTTTAGGCAAATAATGGACAATAGTCAGTTCAAAGAAGAGGATAGTCTTTCAGAATTTATTAGACACGGGATTAGATTGTATGTTTTATGTGATCTTGACAAAGAATACAAATCTAGAGTATTCAACTTAACGTCACATAGTAGCATCATAAATTCAGACGAAGAGTATTCTTGGTTACACGAATATACTAAATGCCTTGTGAAAGCAATTGATATTAATATGGGCTCCAAATTGTATAGCTATATTTGGGAGCTTTTGTGCATTATATTGGTTAATTCGAGTGTGCTCATGAATGAATACCAAGAAGCAATAGGTTTTAGTTTTGATCCAGATTTTTCGTTATTAAATCATTCCTGCATTCCTAATACCCTAGTTATACCTCTAAATCATTCAAAGTTCTCTTTAGTTGCTACGTTTCCGGTTTCTGAGAGTAAGGAATTAATGACTAATTATTGTTTTACAAGCTGCCCCAAGGAATTGAGAAATTTAGAATTACAAAAGAGGTTCTTCTTCAGCTGTAGTTGCTCCTTATGCAAGCAGAGATTCGATTGGTTTTTTTCATATAACTGTTCTATTTGTGGAATGTTAGTATGTAGCTTAACATTCCAAGACTTTTTTTCAAATGATTTATCTAAAGGTCTAATTTTTAAAAATCAATGTAATGTTGATTTTTGCAGCAATTGTGGAAAACCCATCGACAAAGATCTTCTTAAAGAGTCAAGAAAAAATCACCAACAACTATTAGCGATAGTCTTATACGATCTTTACAATAATAGTTTGAATTACGAAGTGGATAATACATATATTAGCAAAGAAAAATATTATGACAATATTAAAAAATTTATGACAGACATCGACTTAATTAATATTTCTGGAGACAAACTAGTTGATCTTATCGAGTCGCTTCAATTCGCAACATACAAAGTATCACCACACAGCTTGAATAATGTTAGAAGTATTTGCATTTACCTTCGTGAAAACAAAATTGTCCCAAGTTATTGCTTTCCTTTGAATCACGTTATATCAGGCTTTAATGAATACGACTTGGTTTCATACACAGGGATATCTAACACGGACAAGGATTATCACGTTCAATGTCTAGCGACTAAACTCAAAATAGATATAAGAACATATTTTGAAGTCAAAATCCCGGGCGATCTAACAGATCTGAAAATATCAACGATAATATACTTTAAAGATATAAGTCAGCAATTACTAACATTGGCAGAAGTTATTATCCAGTATGATATTGATGCTTCTATTATGAATGAATGGATTGAAAATAAAGAAAAACTTCTTGAAACATTGATAAAATGTGCATCATTTCTAAATTTACAGGCAATTGATGCATATTTACCTCTCTCCATAATGAATAACAGCTATACAATGCTCACTCAATTGGTAGATATCGGCAAACAAATAAAATATTTGAGTACAAGCAAAAAAATTAAAGGTATTCCTAAGGAAGTTTCAGTATGGTATAACAAAAGCCCAAGGAACTTTGAAGACCAAATGTTCACCACACACTTGAAAGAATTATTCAAGTTTGCCAATATACCTATTGCATTCAAGAACTCAGTTTTCAAGCTTCAGTTCGCAGATAGGAATAGAAAGCAGCTATTCAAGCCTGTCCATCTATTGACAAGTAAAGATATGGACTCACTCAATGTAAGCATCGCGTAGAGCAGCAAATAGTTAGACAAGTTTAAACTTCTTACAGCTAATAAATAATCAAACATCATTTAAAGCAACACAGACAGCACCCTTATGATGTCCATTGTATTGCCTTACAGTTTCACAGTTCGACAAATCCCACAATCTAACATAATGATCAGAGCATGCAGTAACCAAATAAGCGCTATCAGCACTAAATGCACAATCCCATACCCATCTCTGATGTCCATGTAGAGTTGTCTCTAAACTAAAATTTTGCTCAGTCGACCAGATTCTTGCCGTATGATCTGCTGAGCAAGTAGCTAAATGTCTCATATCAGTCAGTAAAACAACTCTTGTGATATATTTCAGATGCGATCTGAATTTGGTTACAGGGGTTAAGGATGTAATATCCTTTTGGTTTTGCATCAGCCAAACATAGCAGTTTCCCTTATTATTACCAGCAACTAACATTGATCCTTCACTGGCAACAGAGATGGAATTTATGGGGACATCATCCTCAGGAATCAAATGATGAGTGCATTGGTTTTCTCCCAAGTCCCAAATTCTAATATTACCGTCTTGATCACAACTAATGAGTTCACCCTGGTTCGGATGAATCACAACCTCATTGACTGGACAATGGTGCTTATAGTTCCTCTGAACAGAAGGTGACCTGACGTCCCAGACTTTAACCATACCATCTTCCAGCGATGATACCATCCATTTATTATCGATTTGAAATGCCAAAGAAGTAACGTTATTCGTATGTCCCTCAAATGTCATAACAGGATTCGAATTATTATTATTGCTATTGTTACCACCAGCATTTGCTTGTTCAGGCGTATTACCCGAGTTTCCTGTTTGTCTAATATCATATAACCTAACGTATAAATTACCAGCTGCCGCAAGATATCGTTTATCTGATGTGATTTCCAATCTATTAACTTGGGAATCAGTGTGTTGAATCGTTCTTGAACATACGCCAGTTAATGCATCCCAGAATCGAATTGTATGATCGTAGCCAGCAGAGGCCAAAATTACGGACATGACTTAGAGTAAAATGATTTGGGGTGATATGCCTATTAGTTTAATTAATCATTATATCTTTCAAATATAAAAACTACAAGCTTACACAAAAACGCTCATTCTATCAAACTACTTTACAAGGGAACCAATTATATATATTAATATATATTAAAAGTGGAATGCATCTATCTATATGTATGTCTTCATTATATATTTAAACAGGGAGGTAAACAATTTGTCATTATTTTCATTATTAATTAAATTATGTAACAAATATCTTTTTAGAAATATTGATTTATAACTTGTTTTTGTTCAGGGGTTAAGGATACAGGGTAATCAACTTTAAATACAATTTCTAAATCACCTCTAGAGCCTGGCAGTTTACTGATTGGCATACCTAAACCTGGATATGTAGTCGAAGTATTTGGCTGTATTGGACTGGATCTCAGCAATGGGATTCTTCTACCATCGATGGTATTCACCTCTTTAGAGAAACCACATAAGGATTCTTTGAATGTCAATGGCAAATTCATTTTCAAGTTGTTACCATCTCTCTTGAAAATTGGGTGAGGTTTCTCTTCAAGTATGAATTGGACGGTTTGTCTGGCGTGGCACTCTTTTTGGTAGTCACCTTCGTTGGTGAAGTTGATTTTTGTACCCGCTTTCCATCCAGGTTTTATATTGATACTCATAACTTTGCTTTCTTTGGTACCATTGATACCCTTTCTATTCAATTTCATTTTCTTCACTCCGCCGTGGTACAAATCTTCCAATGATACCGGCAATGATATGGTGACGGTATCCGGTTCTGGGCGAGAGCGACCCTGGCTGAAGCCTCCTGGCATACCACCAAAGCCACCAGAACCACCAAATCCTCCACTGTTACCGCCAAATCCACCAAATCCAAAATCATCACCACCACCTCCCATTCCGAAGCCACCCATCTGTGAGAATATGTTGAACGCATCAGCCTGCGAAAACCCTCCACTAGAACTGAATCCTCCGAATGGACTAGCTCCTCCACCAGCTCCACCAGCTCCTGCAAACGGATTCCCTCCTGCTGGTGCATTACCTCTTGCAGCTTCTAACCCGTAATCATCGTACACCTGTCTCTTGTCTCCATTGGACAAAATATCAAAAGCTTCTGAAATCTCTTTGAACTTCTCTGTATCACCTGTAGGCTTATCTGGATGATATTTCAAGGCCAGCTTTCTATATGCCTTCTTTATTTCTTGCTCTGAAGCAGAAGGTTGTACACCCAATAAATCGTAAAGCTTTGTTTCTTTAACCATGCTAACTTATAGATTTTTTTTAATTGAATATTCTATAGAATTTAAACTTAGATTATTCCTTTTACAACCGGAGAAAAGAACTAATTGGTATAAAGAAGTGTATTTATTGTCGTCAATAATGGATTTTTCAACTCCCTTCATAGGTTCGAGATTTTTCTAGAACATTCTTGATCATGTGATCATGCCTACAGATGGTTCCATTAGTATTACGGACATATATTGGATTATAGAACTAGTACTTCTTGATAGGAAAGAGTAGACCTAATCGGTCTTTGTAGCATTTGCACGGGCAGCTTTTTTCAAAGCTCTAACACGGATACTTTTATGCATGTTGAAATTCAAGGAATTGGCGAATTTTGAGTAGACACCTACGGTATTTTCAATTCCAAAATGCATCAATGCATGTGTCCAGTATGGGGTAGAGGTAGCAAACCTTTCCTGTGCACCACAGCGGCGACCGGCAGTGTTCAAGACTGAAGTAACAAAGTTCTTTGGGTTTGGAATGGAGGCAGAAGAGCGCTTGATCTTGGACATGGCCGAGGTGACCAAGTACGAAATAACTAGTTCAACGTCGATGCCGTGGGGTTTCAATTCACCAGCCAAAGCTGCAGACCAGGCCTGTAAGAAGGACTTCGAACCGGAGTATGTAGCTAAGTAAGGGGTTGGTAATAAACCACCGAAGGAGCCCATGGTTAGGATTAAACCCTTGACCTTCTTATTTTCCTTGGCAACGGTGTCTGCGATCACTGGGGCGACAACCTGGGTGATCTTCAAAGTAACAGTGTTGTTGATGGTGATGATGTCTCTCAATTCCTTGTCTTCAGTTTCCAAGAAGGGAACTGGGATCGAGTGGGATTGACCGACATTGTTGACCAACACAGTGACAGGCAAGTTGGATACGGCGTGCAAGATCTTAGCGTAGTTGGAGTCTTCATCGGTGGAAGCGTCAAAAGCAATGACTTTGGTATTGACCTTGTATTTAGTTTCAATTTCAGTAGCAATTAATTCCAACTTTGAGAGAGTTCTTGAAATTAACACAACATTCAAGCCTCTGGATGCCAATTGGAAAGCGTATTCCTTACCAATTCCATCGGATGCACCCGTGACAACAGCCCATTTCCCTTGTTTTGCTCCGTACTTCTTAAAATCGACGGCTGGTAAGATAAAAAGATCGCATAATAATGTACCAAAGCTTAACGTAAAAGTGGTAACTTTGTAAACACCAACGAACAAAGCACCGTATATTAACGCTTGGGTGATCTTACAATCACTGATTGATGACACAAATTGACAAAGTGACATGTTTTTCGATAAAATTTATACAGCTTTAAGGAGAAAGTGGTAACTGTGTTTTCATCCATAATAATATTTTTCACGCGATCCATCCATACAGCCTTCTTATAATATCACTAATAATACATTACAATATACAAGACTTCTATACATATACACTCAAAAAATAACTGAACCATGCATCGTCACAAGTAAGTGAATTCTTCGAGTTTTTCATTCGTAATTTGTACGTGCAACTCTTCTCTAAGTGCCTGTCTTTCAAGATTAGCTACCGAGTTCTCCAATAATAGCTTGGAATGTTGTAATTCGTACAATTCTTTATCTACGCGGCCCAATTCCTCATGGGTATGCTCGAATGCATGTTTCACGGCATCATCCTTTATCTGGAGGATTGTAATCCATGGGTTGGAAGGAGGTTTTGGCCCAGGTGCGCTTTTGTGTTGGGGGGTCTTGGGTTTTGATGCCGGCGATGACGATGAATGCTCTTTCCAGCCCAGATTACTTCCTGGCGCACGCTCGGATTCATATGATGGCCTTCCATGGTAACTTCCTCTATCTTTGGAGGAATATGTTCCCTTATATCCTCCTCTATAACTTCCTCTATACAGCGATTGCGAGTATCCATAACTAGTGTCATTGGTTCTCCCACCAGCACCGTATTCATCGCCATACCTGCTGTATCCTTCTTGATAACTGTCTTGGTAATTGTCGTCTCCTTGTGACGTGGGTCTCGAAGTATCGTATTCTTGTCGATAGTTGTCTCTGTCCTGGTACGACGAATATCCGCCTCTTCCCCTACTACTTCCCCCGTAGTATGGGTTATACCGACTCAGATACCCCCCTCCTCTGCCGTAATAACCACCTCGATCGTTTCCTCGTCCTCTGTACGCTCCGCGGCCTCGACCTCGGTAACCACCTCTGTAGCTGCCTCTGTACCCAGAACCGTCATCCCTGTATCCCGAACCATCGTCTCCGTATCCATTATCTCCGTATCCATCACCAGCGGAACCGCTGCTCGGAGAATAGTTGTTACTCATATTCTTATTGCTATTATCCGTCTTCTTATACCATACCATTAACGTAGTCTGATAGATTATGGCCCATTCAAAAAACGCTCCAACCTGCAAATCAACGTAACCTGCAAACCAATAAAATAAAGCCAAACACCAAATTATTTTTGGTCAAACCTCCAAACACCAAAATTCTCCCAACTCGGTGACACAAAATCAATCATTCGCCCCGTAATTACATTTCCTAATCGGGACACAATTCCGTAAATATTGGTTGTGCATATAACCATAGGAAGAATCGCAGAAATTTAGTATGATCTATAGTGTGATACGATAGTAGATATAGCTAGAAGGTAGGCGGCAAAGAAGAGTTAAGGTGATAAAGGAGTTAAAATAAGTACACAGGATTGCGAAGAAGGTAACAAATCATCAAGTAAACACAAATTATTGTCGGTACGAAATGGACGCAACATTAGGCCAAAGTGGTAGGATCGGTGGTAGGATCGGCGGCAGAGAAGGGAGTGATGAGGAAATTTTTGATCGGGTATGGAAAAAGATGGGATTTATAGAAAATATGCCGCTTAGTGAGATGTATGGGTTATTGAAGAATATAGAGGATGAAAGCAACGAAAAACGGCGGAAGGCCAATGATCCGGGAGTGGTGGTGATGGCACAGATGGTGATTAACAGGGTCCAGGATATGTTTGGGCAAAAAGCCGAAAGAATCAGTTTTCTGAAAGAAGATTCAGCTATGATCTTGGAGTGGATAGTTAGCGAAGGAGGTGGGGATGACGCGGGATACATCGAGACAGAATTCGTTTCACACGGTCCAGTGAGCCGGCGCTTTTCTGTAAGCGATAGTGACGATATGAGCGACGACGAGACGGCGTCTTTGATGGAAGTTGATCGAATAGAGTGCAAAAGAAGTATGAGTGTGCCGTCAAGTATTTGTGATAGTCATATTGATATGGCGTGCAGTCTGAAGGTGACGGAGTTCAACCTTTGCAAAATCTTGGAAGACTTGGAGGTGTACCATCACAATATCGAAATGAACTTTGCATCTCTAGAAAGCCGGTTGGATGGCATTAAGAACCAGAATGCGTACCATTTACAATATTTGAAGGACGTAGGACGCATAAATGACGGGCTATTCGAGAAAGTCAGGTTTATGAGACACGAGGTGTCTGAGGTTCAACGAGAACTTTCCAAGCTCACAGAAGTAGCTAACGGCAGTACTGGCGATAAAGAGCCTACAGTGACTCGAATTGATTTAGTTGGAACCACATTATCCCCAGGAGATACCCAAATATACCACCAGTTGACCAAACCAGGTACTAAACCATCAATTCACGTACCCAACGATGCCACGCAAGGCCAAACTACGAATGTCACTACACATACAACAACTACTACTATTTTAATTGCATTTATCTCAATCATCATTTTTATCATGTCATTTTTCACTAGCAAATAGCATTTCTACATACTGCATGTTTCAAAACTAATATATTTCTTATATGAATAAGCCACGAACCAATTTTTCGAAACTCGTAGAGAACGGCGCTAAAAAGACGAACTAGCGTATACAAATAGGTATCACGATACTGGGGGAATGCAAAAAAAAAAAATGCAAAAAAACGCGTCTTAACCCATGTTAACAGATCTTGGATAACTATCGTAGTTTTCACCATCTTCTTGGAAATATGGATGAATCAAGGCACGCTTTGCACTAATTCTACCACTTGGATCATAAACAAGCATTTGCTCTAACAAATCGATCCCATCTTCATCTAAAGTAGGCACGAACTCTGCCAAATTTTTCTTTGACCACTTAGGGAAAGTCGATTTGAAATCTGGCAAGTATGAAACATCGGGCCAGGTCTCTTCGGATGGTGTACCTAATATTCTGAAGATTCTGAAAATTTCGTCAATTTCTGAATCTCCAGGGAAGAGCGGCTTTCTATTACACATTTCTGCAAAGATACAACCAACGGACCACATATCCACCCCAGTTGAATATTGTTTGCCACCCAACAAAATCTCAGGCGCCCTATACCATAAAGTTACCACTTCGTGCGTATATGCTCTTAAAGGCACCCCGAACGCTCTCGCAAGACCAAAATCGGCCAACTTTAAATTCCCTTCCTTGTCGATCAATAAGTTTTGGGGCTTCAAGTCTCTATGCAATACCCTGTGACTGTGACAATGCTTGATACCCTTGACTAACTGATTCAAAAACCTCTTCACCATATCAGCGCCTAATCCAACTCCCTGAGGAATCGACTCCATGTACTTCTTCAAATCCAAATCTAAAAATTCAAACACCAAATATAACTTATGCGAATCCGAATGTATTATATCGTATAAACGAACAATGTTATCGTCCCTCATCTCCTTTAATAAAGAAATTTCTCTGATGGCTGTCGATGGGACTCCTTCATCCTCCGATTCCAATCTAATCTTTTTCAAAGCAACAACCCTATTATTATGTTTTGTATCCAATGCCTTATAAACAACCCCATATGTACCTATTTATATTAGTATTTTCGTCTTTGAATCTAACATACCCGTATATTACACATGTTTTGCTGAATGTACGAAAAAAAGATGACAATACATACCTTCACCAACTTTTTCTTGACGCTGATAATCCGTTAATTCAACCATTTTTATATATGTAGAATTCAAATAATCAAAGCGAATGTCCTTATTCTATCCAACACCTTGGTTTTAATGTAATAAATGATAAATCGTTTAGAAAGAGTATAGCGCTTAACTAAGATCACCATTTAAAATCTCTACCGCGTTGAAAATGAATGTTTACAATTTTTCTTTATGGATAAGACTCTCACGTGAAGGAAAGGCTTCAAATCTATTCATAAAAGATATACAAGCACTATATAAGTCACGAAGGCTATATTTCAGGTGGTTGACTATCAGACTTACCTTCACCTGCATCACAAACCTTGATTTCTCTACCCCATTCACTATTCAAAATCTGCTTACCATTAATACGCCTCTCAGGCTTAGGGTCCAAAATCGAGTAGATGACGTTTCTACAACGTGCCCTCTTTAAAGACTCAATAGGCTCGTAGCCAGAGGCATCCTTCCGCTTCATCAAATACTCTTCGAAGAACTCGTCCTTTTTAGGGTCGGCCAACTTCCATAACTGCCTACCGGTCCTCATGGCCATGTAAATAACACCACAGGCCCATATATCGACGCCGCGAGGATCGAAAGAATGCTGGCTGAACTCTTCGGGAGCAATATACGGCGAGGAGCCGCAGATGCCTTCACTGTATTGGATTTCGTTTTCCCAGGCCATTTTGAAGCACTCACCGTTTCCAAAGTCGGTGATCTTCAATATACCATTTTGCGTTAATAACAAGTTTTCGGGCTTCAAGTCTCGATGGCTGACACCCATTTCATGCATGTAGTTGACACCTCTGATTAATTCTTTGAAAAAGCAGTCGGCTTCGGCATACTCTAGTTTTCCTGAGGCGATGATCAAGGTGTACAAATCACCGCCCGAACAAAATTCCATTACTTCGCAGTAGTCACCCTTCGCATCCTTCAATAGGTCCAACGTGTTGATGATGTTCATGTTCTTCAATGAAGATGAGATGCAGAATTCTGACGTGAGTCTTCTATTATACTTTTTGTCTGATTCGTTGGGCCTTCGCTTGAACTCTTTCACTGCGTATAATTTTTCTTCCGTGTCACTGTTTTGACCGATGATTTTCTTATGCGATATCCGTACCACCCCAAAAGATCCCTTCCCTATGATTTCTTGACATCTACCATACTTTTCAACAAAAGACCTGCAATCTGGTTGCTCGCCTATTCCATTCACTGTACCATGATATGGGGAGGTATTATTTTTGACCTGATGAACTAATCCAGCAAAAAGGGTGGGTGGCTTGTCATTAGTTTGTGGTAACTGTGAATTTGATGGTTGTGGTGTTTGCAATATATTGGGCACGGCTGATATAGCCTCATCACGTAATTTTTTCGACCCTAATAAGCCTTTCAACATATTCGACAACTTTTCTTGTCGTTTAGCAGAACGCAAATTATGCTCATGCAAACCATTTTCTAGCATTCTGAACCTCGGTTTGGTAGGCGTTGGACTAGGCGATACAGCGGACGAATTGAGGTCTTTATCCTTTAGTGCCACTGGCTTAGTTTTCAATGAAGATGTTCTCGAGACTGGATTTGACTTACCGCCAGCACTGCTAGGAGTCTTTTTCGTGGGTTGGTTTGTATTTGTTGACGAAACGGACATACTAGGCGATCGTATGTTCATTGGACTAGGAGAGCTTATGGCAGGCAAATTAGTGTTTGAGCCTGAATGAAGATTGAAATCTGACGCCATGGACGTTACCACTTGTGGTTGAGGGTGGAACAATATATTATCTTCCGAAGAATTCACTGAATGGGCTGGAGAAGCAATTCTGTTGGGATTATTCATCGTAGAAATGTTTGTTTTCGATCCTGTTCTTGGTGATACCATCAGCAGCCTCGACGCCGCTTTGCCCTTATTATTAGTCATCTGTATGTTTCCATTAGTGTTCTGGTTGTTGGCGCCTACCCCCATACTAATATTGCCGTCATTCTTAATATTACTGTTATGCTCATTACTGCTATTTTTGCTATTATTGCTATTAATACCGTACAACATGTTTCTCTGCATAGGCGATGCTCTGCCCTCTTCCTGACCCACCGCTATAATATCCTCCTTACTAGAAAATGGTGATGCTTTCCTCAGCCCACCTACCAGATTATCTTTGTCATGAGCGCCATTAGCCGCTTGCTTGGGTTCCTCATACACCGGGCTATTCATTTGCTGAAGATTGGTCTGCGAAACTCCAAAGAGTTTCCCAAGCTTCGTCATGGTTTTTTTTGATTTAGAGTCACCCATGGTGAACTATTATACCTATAATAACTTGTAGATACCCTATCTAATAGTACGATGACAATTGATATCTTCTATAGGTTATATGACAAATAATTAGAAAATTTTAGTACGCGACATTTTGCCAAAAATCTAGGCCAATGTCGCGATACCACGAATATGGCCAGACGACATTTTATCTTACCACACTCTAAGAGTCACGCAATCACTAGGGACATATACTAGATTGTAGCTTAAGCTGGCTTAGCAGTCATCAATATCGATGGTAACTGAATTTAAGCGATCAGATATCATGAAACTACGTTGTTACTAAGTAAAAATAGAATTTTTTGATCATGGGGTCTGGATGATAGAAGCCACGTGTAAAGCCACGATGTAATTGTTTCAAACAAACATGAAACCGGTGAATGGCAAGGTATAGTAGTATTGTGTATTGTATGGTAATGTTTCATGTATTGAGATTAGGAAAGCTTATTGTACGATACACATTTTGCGGTTTAATGGACTTGTGTTGCATGAGAAACGTTTTTTACCTTTTGCGTGCATACTCAAGTGTCGTTTACAGGCCGGGTACTCTATTGGCATATGTACTCGAATACCAATTGAGTAAGTCATATGGTCTATTATTTGCAGAAGGGATGAATGGTATCATAGTAGAAAACAATGTATTCGGTTCTAAGACCTACACGGTCCGAAAAGAGGACGTTATCATACATGGCACCCATGGGGTGTCCCAGAAAAGTGCAAGATGATCCACATGTCCAAGATCTGGTGGATAGATCAAGAATCTGGGACTATATATATTGGTATGTATGGAACTAACCAAAAGGTTGAGGAGTGGTGTTAGATTAGACAATTGTTGAAATGATGAATTGGATAATTTTCGCAGCCGTTTTAGGGATGGTGATGGGTCAGCAGGTGTTACAGCCAGACGTTGATGTATTTTTCGGAACAGAGAAAGGAGGGAATGTGTTTCCTGGGCCAGCTAGACCGTTTGGAATGGTTAAAATGGGGGTTGATGTTATAGATTCCTCAACCAAAGTTGTATTTTCTGGATATGCCAGAGATGGAAACGTTGCCGGTATATCTATGATGCATGAAAGTGGAACGGGAGGATCGCCAGAATATGGAGTCGTCTCCCAATTGCCATTGATTGGAAATATTGACTATTCGAGTCAGAGCAGTCTAGGTAGGTCCTCTGATGACACGGGATCCGTGGGTTATTATTCATGCAGCTTCAACAACGGAATACAAGCTGAATTCGCAGCTGCAGATAGGGCTGGCATCTATCAATACAGCTTTCCAGAAAATAATGAGCCCAAGGTTATGATCAACGTTACCCACCATTTGTCAAATTCTGATAAATCGTACTGGACACAGTATTTTGTCAATGGATCAGTAGAAGCAAATGATGATAAGAATGGTTACGAGGGTCAAGCAACGTTTGCTGGAGGATGGGCCAGCCAAGATCCGTGGACCATCTATTTCTGTGGTGATTTTGAAAACAACGCCAATCTGGTAGAGGCATTTGTTGGAACCAGCAATTTTAACTCGCTGCAAGCTTCTACTAGTGCCAACGAGTCAGTAGGAATTGTATTCACATTTCCATCAGACCAATCAACTATAAGAAGCAGGGTGGGTATTTCATTCATTTCAACTGACCAAGCATGCCAGAACATCAAGGCTGATTTCAATGACTATAACCTCAACTCCACCGTGTCAGATACCAAGACTTTGTGGGACGATCAAGTCTTCGGTAAGGTAAATGTGAACAATGATAACACAACACTTAGTAATTTATTATACACTGCGCTTTATGGTGCCCATTTACTCCCAACTAACAAAACTGGTGAAAATCCACATTGGCAATCATCAGAGCCATATTACGATGACTGGTTTACTATTTGGGATACTTTCAGATGCTTGAATCCTCTTTTCAACCTTTTAAGCCCAAGCAGAGGCGCTGAGCTAATTAGGAGCTTGATTGATATTTACAAGCACGATGGATACACTCCAGATGGAAGATCTGCTAATCAGAATGGAAAAACTCAAGGAGGCAGTAATTCAGATATCTTGATGGCTGATGCCTATGTGAAAGATGTACATAATAGAATTGACTGGGATGAAGCCTTTTCAGCAATGGTCAAAAATGCAGAGGTAGCTCCACCCTATTGGTACGACTTTAAGGCTCCAGACGCTTCCACAAAAGAAGGTAGAGGTGGATTGTCGGATTGGATTAACCTTGGATATGTTTCACGTACCTATACAAGATCAGTTACGAGAACAATGGAATTTTCGTATGACGATTTTGCGCTTTCAGTTGTGGCTAAAGGTATTGGCAATGAAACAGCCCACGATAAATATTTAAAAAGATCGGCAAACTGGCAAAATATTTGGAACCACAACGCTACAGCTAGTGCATGTAATTACACCGGCTTCGTTCAACCAAAAAACGCCGATGGATCATGGGCATACGATGGCTACGATCCCCTTTCTTGCGGTAACTGCTATTGGGGTGACGACGAATACGAAGGTAAACCAGTTGAATACGGATGGGCTGTTCCACACGATATTGCAACCCTTGTGGAATTCATCGGTGACAATGACACATTCATAGCTCGTCTTGATGATATGTTTGGTCTTAACGGTCAAGCGTTTGCTGATATTGGAAATGAACCAAGTTTTTTAACTCCATATCTTTACAATTATGTCAACGCCAACTACAAAACCGTCGAAACTATAAGATATTTAATCAACACCAAGTATTCCACTGGCCCGGCGGGATTACCTGGAAACTCTGATGCTGGTTCAATGCAAGCATGGCTATTTTTTGGCCTTATGGGGTTCTATCCAGTTGCGGGCACATCCACGTACCTCCTCTCCTCTCCTTTCTTTTCAAGTGCCACCTTGAACTTGGAAAACGACAAAAATGTGAAAATCACAGCTTCTAACTTGAGCAACGACAACATTTACATCCAAAGTGTAGAGATAAATGGTAATTCGTGGAACCAAAATTGGTTTACACATGATGATCTTTTCAAAAATGGAGGGTCAATTCACTTTGAATTAGGCTCCACCCCTAGCAAATGGGATACTGGTGATGTTCCACCAAGTCCAGGCCATACTAAATGATTATATAGACTTAATATACTGTATTATTCTAGAACGTATTAATGGCTGTGAAATTTCAGTAGATTTTGTGTTCTGTAAGCGCAAGCAAAAGTCTCGATCATGATAAGCATGTTAACCGATGTATATATGTACATTAGTTCTTCTAAACAACATCAAAGATGGATAGTAATACTAACATTGCATTACAATATGTAATGTTATATACAAGGAGAGTCTTTATGTTTTGTTTATTGCCATTGACTCATTTAATTTACCCTTGTCTAAACCTTTCGTACCAAATAATAAAACATGTTGTGTTTATCCCTCTTGCAATATCCATCAAAACATTAATATATGGGTTTTTATTTCTACCCAGCAAACCATTGTTCTATATACTTGGTATAGATGAGCCTACAAGAGAAAATATCAAGATATTAATTCCTCACATACGATTTTTTATGGTGAATTTAACCCACTATGTAATGGTGGGGCTTATATTTGGAACATTGGTTGGAATAATGACGGGGTTTAATTTAAGACTAATTCAGTTCTTGTTAACATTTAGTAGTATAGAAACAATACCTAATAAGGTAAAGAATGAGAAAAGTCAAACAACACCATATTTGGGTGATTTCATTTCTCAAGTTACACCGAGTGTTTCAAATGAGTTTGCGGGCAAAAATACTACTCCAATAGGATATACTAGCACCCCTGAGACCCTAGACTCAATGAACAAGTCCAGTACAGGCAAATATGTTGCAGGCCAAGCTAAGGACTCTCCTAATATGTTATCGCTGGGTTCTAGCAATTTTGCTTACGAAGATGACGATGGGTACTACCCAATAAGACAGAGAGGAAAATTGAAGCATTCTCAACAGAATAGTGCCATAGCTCGAAGAAAGACCCATCCTTTCACTATTAGAGAAGACCCTTATTCTGAAACAGATGAGAAGCAGCAACCTTACAAGAAATTGAAAATCACCAGCACTGACATACCTAAAGCAGCAGATATAGCAAATAACCCACGAAAACAGGAGGGTCACTCTGAAGATCCAGTTGATGGAGAGAACGATGAAAGCTACGTTGATAATGACCAAGACACCACTAACACTACAAAGAATGATATATTTTCGGTAAGAGGTAAAGACATTGACCTTAGTACGTTGGCCACACATGTAACTGTTTCGGATCCTACTGAATCCAAAAATGGTTAAAACATGCACAGAACATTATGTATCAAGATGGCTTCAATAATTCCCAAATTGTCGAAGTATATAATTAGCCTAAATGTCTTCTCAATTTTTCATTCTTATAATGGCACATAATGAGCTCAAATTATTTAAAGGATACCAAGAGTTTACCTCTTCGGTTTGAACATTTTTCGCCTAGTACTTCAAAGTATGAACTGACGAAGGAGAATAGAGGACCGGATATTAAAGCTAATAAAATACAACCAGTCGCAGAATATGATGCAAATAAGATAAGTAAGACTGTCAAGTTTATTAACCAGACGAACAATGAAAATGTTGATATTCCATGGCCCAAGGTTAAAGTTGATGAAGATTTTGAACCATCGTCAAAGATTAGTGAGTTGGGACGCATCTTCATTCATTATCTCAACGAAATTGGTATAATTAAAGCTGACTTGCAAACTCCTTCAATGTGTGAAAAAACAGCACACAGAGGAAAGCAGTATACTTGCTGTTTAAAGTTCCAGATTAATTATGGATTTCAACGATTTCAAGTTCTTTTGACTTTAAAATACGGGATTGCAAACAAGAAGGTATTTCTTAACAATTCGATTTCAAATGATGAGTTGGTAGATTACTTAAAGAATTTGATTGTATTTAAAAAAAGCGACACACACCAGGAATTGAAGTTCAACAACCTTAAATTGTTAAGTGTGAGTTGTAATATCAATGGCCTCGAGTTAGAAATTTAATTTATATGGTATATATGGCTTGAATATGTAGAATTATTATTTGACTACAAAATAGTGAATATAAAAAATACATGCAAATTAACCAAATCTAAATTCTAGTGAAACTAGATCAACGAACTAAATAGGGAGGACCGCCATTAACAACAATAAAAAGATTGAAAAAAAAAGAAAATTGGATAAAAAAATAAATATAAGCATAAACAAACGTGATATCATGAGGTATTATTATTATAATAATGTAGGGTTAAATGATGAATTGATCGTATGAATTAATAGTTTTCGGGATGATGTGGTGGGCATAATTGAAATATACATGCACGATTATTTATTTTCGATGAAATAATCAGAATAGTAATTACCGAATACACTCCAATGGAACTTTACTAACGTGTAAATTCTGCTGGCGATACTAGACATTTCAGATACGTTCTTGTTCGTAATTGTGGACGATGAAGAAGCAGAAGCTTTTGAAGAGTTAATAACTTCAACGAATAAATCCTTGAAAATTTTTTCCTCCATTAAGCCGTAGACTTCAGAAATTGGCTGAATTTGTTTTATTAACCAGCCATTAGCAAACGTAACCATTGATTGTGGAAGTTCATCCGTTTTGCCAGTGAGTGGATTAGTAACAGCATTCTTGACCAATTGTAATGCGATAGATTGAATATTTCTAGTCCATTTGACATTGCCATTATCATCTCTGACAATGGCCAAGAGTTCCTCTTGGATTTTGTTGATATTAACAGGCTTGAAACTTTCTGATCTGTAGCTGGATGATTGTGGATAATTAATGAGAAGTTGTTTGTACAAGACAATACACAACTGAACACAAACCAACTGTCTGACATCGGCTCTCAACAACACCAATCTTGTGTGATCGAATGCCAAGGTAGAAGGGAATTCTGTGGCCATGTTGCGGCATGATAATAAGTCTATGATTGAGGACGAAAGGAAAAATTTCTTATGCTCTTCTTCGGATACATCATTAGGTAAAAGCTTGACGAGCTTGTCGCACTTCTTATGGTACAGCTTATAGAACCACTTTAACAGATCAGAAATATCAATTTTCGAGTTTAATATTAATTGGTGGAAGTAGTCTTTTTCAAAGTCGACTGCCGTTTCGATGAGGACAGGTCTTAAGATTCTTATTTGGTGGTTGGCGACATCCAACTTCATTGCTTCCAAAATCAGAAAGATCATTCTTAGGCCCTGCACCAAGTGTTTGACAGAGTTATCGGTAAAAGCAAGTCTAAACTTGTTGATCATGTCAGCGACCCACTGGTCCCTCATGGGCGCGCAGTGAGATTTGAACACCTCACCCAACCACTGGGACAACGCAACAAAATCGAACGACCCATGGGATAACTGCTGTATCAAGAGCTCGATGTCCATGACTTCGTTTACAGACGACCTGTCCTTGTATGGAAGCAAAGACAACAAGATATCCCTCAAAGTAGTGAACAATATAGGCAAGCGGGAGATTTTAATCATGTTATGGGTCTGTAATGCCGCAAAGAACTGGCTACACTCCTTTTCGATTTCGCCCCAATACTTGTCGATAATGCTCTTCTTTCTCTTGCCACGCTCGCCATCGAGGTTCGGTCTGAACTGCAACTGCGGGTCAAACACAATATCGTGCCTCAACTGGGGGTTTTTCAATATCTCATGCAAGTCGATCTCCTTCAAGCTCTGCAAGTTGATGGGAGGCAACGGAGGAACCGATGTGTGGGCGATTTTAGGAAAATTTTGTAAATGCTGTATATGTCCCGGTTTCGAGTAGTTAATGATGGGTAACGACCGCGACCTGAATTTGCGGATGAACTTGGGCGCCTTACGCTTGTTACCAAGCCCAAGGGGATGTGCATGCTGTTTAGATGTGTTGGAGTGTCCGAGAAGATTGTGGGTACGAACGGTATGAGTGCGAGCGAGCGCATTCATATGCGAACTATGAGATTGCTTTCGACCCAACGGATTCATCACCGGGATTTGCTTTGTGGTGGGAGACATATTCTCGTCTTTACTGATGCTGCCATCTAGTCTGACCCGTTTTTCTTCTGTAGGTCCACTGGTGGTGGTGGCTTGGCCACCGCCGCCAGACTTATCAAAGAAAACTGGTCTGAACTGGTCTTCCTTGAACACCTCTTGGTTATCATTTTGGTTATTTACCTGGGAGTTCATGGATGAAAAACAAATATGAAATAAGTACGATGTAATATGATATGAATAGATGATAAAATAGCTGAAATCGACGAATAAGAACTAATCCAATAAAAGCCGGAATTTGTATCCTTATATTAAATATGGTAATTAAAGGCTCCGTGATGAAATTTTTTAACGAAAAGGAATCGACGTAACCAGCAAAAAAGACAATCTGGAATAATTTACATGTTAGTGCATTTTCTTTTTCGCAGCTACGGTGACGGCCGGAGATAAGCAGGGTGGCGAGTTCGAGCCTACGTGTACGTCTTTGTCTTGTGTACGTGTAGCATACAAGAGGTATTGGAAAGTGGTAATCGACTATATAGGGTGCGCTGGCTACATTATCTCTACACTTCCTCTACTATCTC